TACATACATACAAATACACATGAACTCTCATTAACCAACCAAACCCAACACAAACCCAACACAACATACACCTCCTACACATAACACAGTTTCATCATTACAGCTGCATATGGTAACAATAACATATAACACAAAACCTGTTTTAAGCCACCAGTGGTCTGTTTTTATGGCCAATGTTTTTTATGCTGGGCTGGGATTTTACCGCTGGTTTTTAATTACTATCTTTAATTAATGTTTTGTTTTTATTATATTGGGGGCAGGTTCCTGGAGAAGCGGCATAAAATGTTTTTGACTAAATAGTAAATTGAAATTACAAAAAAGATAGTCTCAGAGAGAGTTCCAGAGAGCTAGCCATGTTAGTCTGTAGTGTTAAAATAAAACAGGCATCCAGCCGGACTTCAGACACTAACAGCATTTGTTCCGTCTTAAGCTTTTGTAAGTCAGGCATCTGATGACGTGAACTTTTAATTTATGAAAGCTAATGCTGGAATAAATGATGTTCGTCTCTAAGATGCCACAGGATTCCACTTGTGGCGGAAAGGTGGGGTGGGACGTGAAGCAGCCGAAGGCCTGGGGATCTCATTACAGCCTGAAGGCCGGAGGTTTCAGGGCCAGCTGGAAGTCAGCACAATCCTGTGGAGGGTCTGTGCTGAGAGTTAAAGTTGGGAGTGTAACTTCTACTGCTGGTGGTCTCCTGTCTCAGCTCTCAAAGCATCTTTTAGGATCACATATTACGTAGCTGGCATTTTCACCCATTGCTACCGCATTCCTCAGTGTGGCCATTGAAAGCAAAATGACTGGTATCGTACACTGAAGTTTCTCAAGCAGCTTTGTTTGAATCCTTAGTTCCAATGGAAAATGAAGAAAAGATCCATATGCAGTGTATCTTGCCAAATACCAATGTCATTCTTCCCTTTGTGCCTTTCGTTTTCTGGCACAACACCATCTTCACCAGTAGAAAGTATACATTGTGGTCTTGTTAGCGCTGAGGACAAACAAATGGTTACCCACCCCTGTAGTAGGATGTTTTTATGGTCTTAAAGGTACCACAGGGATCTGTTTTTATTTTGCTATGTGAGGTCAGCATGATTATGCCTCTGGTATTTTCTTCTTAAGTGAATTGAGTCTCTGAAACAGTTTCTGAATCTTGTCTTTGTCTGATGTGACATAGTGGATCTTGTGATTCATGGGTTGTTACACCATCTTAGCTGCTAGGTTGGCAGGAGCTGGAACTAGAGACGGGAGCTCACTCCGTCATGCGGCACCCAGGTCTCGAACTGCTGAACTACTGACCTTCCACAGCCTGCAGTTCAGCGTCTTAACCACTTGAGCCACCGCAGCTCCTTATGTACTGTATGTATGGTACTGAGACAATATTAAGAAATGTTCCGTGAATATTTATAGTAGTGGTTGGCTAGCATTAAACTCACTTTCCATTGGGTTTCTGTGTTTGATTATTATTATTTTTTGTATTTTTTGGAATTTGTGTGTGGTGCCCTCTGGTGACTGACCCCCTACTGGGGGCCTGGAGGATATTCAGAGAACTGACTGAATAAAGCCTGCCCCCGCCTTCTGCCTCTGGTATTCCACGGAGGTCTCCCATCCAAGTACTTGCCAGAGTCGACCCTGCTTAGCTTCCGAGATCTGATGAGATCAGGCTTGTCTGGGCAATCCAGGTCAGAATTTTTGATGTAAGCTGTCAGTAAACACTTTGGGAACGATAGCAGTCAGCTGGTTTAATTTTGCCCTTGTCCTGAATGAACTTGGCCTCTTCAGCATTTTGTCCAAATCATAATTAAATCAAGGTGCAGGGACGTCATTGTTAAATTCAGTTTTGTTGGTGTTGTTACGAAGTAGCTTTGGACAGTAGCTGCCGCTGAGAGCTGCCTAATATTTACGAGCACCTTAATCAGTTGTGTTTTCTTTTAGAAAGAACATACTGGCCGCCTCGTTATTGGAGACCACAGATCAACTTCTCATTTCAGAACAGGTTAGTCTCACACAGCGTATCGAATGAAAGTAAATTTTAAATATCTTTAATGAATTGTAGCTGCGGTTTTGGGGTCCCGCTTTTGTGACTGGGTAAATACTTATCAGAGCTATCCAGTAAGTGTCACTGAGCAAAGATTTGAAATGGGGTTTATTGTCCTCAAAGCCATCTTGCAAGTTGCTAAACTGGAGTGCCCAACCGTGGTGATCCTGTGGTTACTTTTTACATTTGGAGACCAAGTAGTGTTTGGCTAGTCACAAAATGGCTGCCGTGGGGGCTGGTGCCAATTATATAATGTTTGAGGGTTCCAAGTCAAAATATCCTCTTGTGATAGAGGTCGCTTTTTCCAAATGGTGCTCCTTGCAGGCCCAAAAGGGAGGCCATCCTGTTCCAGTGAGGTAGAAAAAAGAAAAGACTTGTTTGCTGTGAGGAAGAAGGGCACCAGGAAGCTCACTGGTATGTGCCATGTTGGGGTCACTACCTTAAACTGCACTCACCCTGTACGAGGGATGTGAACAAAAGTATGGATTGGTGGTTTTTTGCAAACATCTACATTTCCCTGGAGAAAAGGGGATTACCCAGTTTCCAAAACATCCCAGCATCATGTCTCAATGAGAAATTTATCTCTCCAGCCTCTAGTCCATTGTCCCAAACAGAAATAAATTATCATCAGAATCTTTGTGTGTGAAAACATGTATTCCTGAAAGACTAAACCGGCACAGACTTCCAGTCTTTCTCTGGCCCTCCACTATTTACACAGAGGCAGAGGACCAAGTCTTTTGGACCTTGACAATTAGAAGGAAGGAAAAATAAACATCTATATATATAAAAGAAAGTCCCCTCACTGTAAAATCAACACCCAGGCCAAACCGCTGGAACTAGAGAGACCAAATTCGGGGAGAGCGCTCCTACCATGGTGTAGGTGCTCACTAAGAAGGGATTTTTAGAAATTCGGCCCCTAAGGGGGTCAAAAGGAGTAAAATGTGCTCTTCCCCTTGATTCCTGTGCAGCTGCCAGGCTACTGCCTCCCTGCACCCCCCGCTCTCTGATTGGTCAGCTGCAGAGCTCAGTGTTCTGAGATAAAAAAGCCAATAGTTACAGGAGTCTGCAGACAGCTAATGACAGTTGAGGAAATCAGGAGTGGCCAACCGCCTGTGAGGTGAAGCAAAGCTGCGGCCCAGCCTCCCTGTGGCTTCAAACATGTTCCCCCCTCCTACACCTGACAGGCAGTTGTCTGTCAGGTGCAGCAGCAGTTGCAAGGTGTTTAAAGCCAAGAGGGAGCCTGCCCCAGCAGTAACGCCTTAGTGATCCTGCACAGTGGCTTCTAATACTCCTCCCCCCTCCCCCTACTACACTGGACAGGCAGCTGCCTGTCAGGTGTAGGAGAGGAGGTGGGATGCTTACAGCTGCCGGGGAGGTGTGCTCGGCAAGATTGCCTTAGCCCTGCTGCTGGTCCAGCCTCCCTTATGTCTTTAAACATAATCCCCCCAACACCAGACAGGTGGGTGCCTATCAGGTATAGGAGCAGGACCAGGGTACTTTAATCCATCAGGGAAACCGCCCCAGCAGGTTCACTTTAGCGATGCTGCTGGCCCAACCTCTCTGATGGCTTCCAACACCCCCCTCACCTCCTACACCTAACAGGCGGTTGTCTGTCAGGTGCAGCAGCGGTTGCAGGGTGCTTAAAGCCATGAGGGAGCCCCCAGCAGTCTACAAAGAGGTCCTTCAGTAGAGGGCAAAAAGTATGTATGTCTCACTTCATTTTTACACTACAATCTTCTCCATTAGAATTCCTACAACAAATGTTACATTTCAAACTTTTTAACAACTGGATTTATGGAAGTTAAATACCGTAGCGAAGCACAGGTATCAGGCTAGTGGATTATAAATCTGATATTCTGATAGCAAAGTTGGCCAATCTTTGGATACTCAGATCAGGTGACTGGAGCTGTGAACGGGCAAGAGAGATCTTACTACAAACCTGAAAAAGGCCTCAGTTTTGCAGAAAAATAGTTCAGTTGTAATTCTGGGAGATCTCCAGGTCCCACCTGGAAGCTGGCAACCTTTGGCATGGCAGCAGCCTCTTGGTGACTTTTAATATTTTTTTTTAAATTTCAAATAAAAATAGCAATAACAGTAACAATAGCAATAACAGTATCAAACAACAACAGTATGACTAAATTAAACTCCAGGTCTCATGAACACAGTAAACGTCAATATTAATGAACAATTAACATATATGCTTCTTTAAGTTGTATAATATCTACATTTTTGCCATCTGTTCCTCTTAAAGGATTAATACACTTTTTCGTGAAGGGTAACCATTTTTGAACAAAGAATTTTTTACGTTTGGTCATAATAGAAGTTTCAATATCTACTGTAATTTTATCAAAAAAATAAAGTAATCCCATACGTTTTGTTTCCACATCTGTATAGTAGGAGTTTCTTTCCATTTTGAGGCAAGAACATTTTTTGCAGCAGCAAACATAGTCGCTGCTAACTCCTGGACATGCGTAGGAACACTACAGTTATCCCAGAGGTTGCCTCTTGGTGACTTGATACCACCTGATGTGCATGACTCAGCTAGGTCCGGTTGCTTGCTACTATTTAACAGCACCCATTCAATGAAAGCCAGTGTGGTGTTATGGCTAGAGGTTCAGAGTAGGGGCTGGGAGACCTGGGTTCGAATCCCCATCTTGCTGTAGAAGGTCAACGTGTGATTTTGGTCCAGTCACATACTTTCAGACTATCCTATCCCACTGGGTTGTTGTGCAGATAAAAAGGAGGAGAGGAGAAGAGTGTAAGCTCCTTTGCGTCCCCACTGTGGAGAAAGGTGGGGTATAAATGAAGTAAATAAATGATAAACACAGCTGAAGACAGGAGGCAAATAAAAGGTAGGCTGGTGAATGGCTGAGAGGGAGAGAATGAGGCTGGGGAAGGGGATAGACTATGGGGGTTGCCGGGGGAGGGAAAGGGGAAATAGTGTGGAGAAGAGGATATACAGGAAAGTAAGGTAAAGATAAAGGTTCCCTTGCTCGAAAGCCAGTCGAGTCCGACTCTAGGGTTGCGGTGCTCATCTCCGTTTCAAAGCCAAAGACCCAGCGCTGTCCGAAGACGTTTCCGTGGTCATGTGGCCGGCATGACTAAACACCGAGGCACACGGAACGCTGTTACCTTCCCACCAAAGTGGTACCTATTTATCTACTTGCAATTTCTTACTTTCAAACTGCTAGGTTGGCAGGAGCTGGAACTAGAGACGGGAGCTCACTCCGTCATGCGGCACCCTGGGTCTCGAACTGCTGAACTACCAACCTTCCACAGCCTACCCCCACACTAAATCCTTGAGGATTCCCTACCGTGCAGGTGGGCCTGGCCCAGTTGCTGGCACCACACAACTGGGACATAGTTTGCTCGGTAGAGGTTGTTGGGGGGGAGCAGCTTAAGACCGAGGGGCAGGTAAAGGAAATAGTGGGAGAGGAGTAAAACGAGATGCCTCCCGCAAGTCCTTGCGGGTTCCCACTTGTTTATTCTGTTCTTAAATCTAAAAGTTGTGCCTAATGATGATAAATAAAAAAAGAATATAGAATCTTTAGTTAACGTTTTCATTTTATGGTGGAAGGCAAGGTTTTGTCATGTTTCCATTGTTCATTTGGTTGTCTTCATGGAGCTTTGGCTCTCATTTCCAGCTGATGAGGAAGAGAAATAGCTGTTTTCTCCTTCTGCCCCCCCCCCAAATACATTGATTCTTTATTTTTTTCCCACTGGCGTATACTAGTTCTACCTGTTGGAAATGACCACACAGACCTACAGTTTTCTTTGTACCCCCTTTGAGAACAGGACTTCGCGCAGACTTGGGTGCAGCTCTTGTTCTATGTTCCGGTTGCCCTTCTCTCAGCCAGGCTGAAAGCTTGTTAGGATAACTTTTTCTGTAGTCTTTGCCCTAGTGGGCCCAAATTAGGCTAGTCTCTGAGCACAAGGCAGAATTTAAACTAAAATTTTGCCCTCAGAGCTGTAAATTTCACACGATGTCAGTTCTCTTGTGTAATGGCCCGAGACAGAGATAGTATGTCCCCGATTCTCTCGTTTCCTAACACATCACGTTCTGATTACGCTTGCTGTACTAACACGTTCTAACACTTGTTTCTGGATGACATTTTAGTCTTTCTACAGAATAAGCTTAATTGTGGCCTGAGTAAATTATTGATTGCTTGAGGTTACGTGAATGCCCTTTCCCTAGATTCAACGTCTTTTTCCCTCATTGCTGGGAACAGAGCCCTCCCTATAACTTTTGCAAGGCTTGCGATGGACTCCTTTCAAGCCATTCTCTCAGTTGGTCTCACACACGTTGGTTCTTTAAGTACTGCCAGGAGTTAAGACGGTTCACATGAAGTGTTCTTACTCTCCACAAAGCCTTTATTATGCTCCTGCTTTTGTGCTGTAATGAGATGTTTATTCATTTGAGTGGATGATAATCAACATGTATGAACATACAGGGGAAGAAGACAAGAAAATAAATGATGAGCTTGAGACTCAGTTCCAGCAAAGCATGGATAGCACCATGTCAGGAAGGAACCGGCGGCATTGTGGACTCGGTTTCAGTGAGGTAATATATTTAAATTGAAAAAATGACCCATGAATTCATGTGGAATGATTCTGTACAAGCAATACTACTCACTCCAGCCTAGGGACTAAATTTTTTTATTTACTTCACTTAAATCTGGCTTCTCTCCCCGACGGGGACCCCAAGTGGCTTACATCATTCTCCATTGTGTCCTTATGTTAGTCCGAGTTTGGCCCAAGGTCACCCAGCAAGTTTCCATGGCAGAGAAGAGATTCAGGCCTGGGTCTCTCAGATCCCGGTCACAAATAACCACAGCGCACTGGCCCTGAATTTTTAGGATGCCAGACCGCCACTTTGTAGAAGTTTTTCCATGTAATTCCTTAGTGCTAGTTTGTTGACTCATTAAAACGGCTTTATATTCATTCAGTATGCTGTTAAGGTTGTCCTGAAACACTCGTCTCTACACATTTGGTGGAGATGCGATAAAATTCAAACATTTTGGAATAAAATACATAAAATAATACTAAAGGCTCTACAAATTAACATACCAACAACCCCGGAAATATATTTATTAAACATGTTAGCAGATACTATAAAAGAACATAATCAGATAATAGTGTATATTCTAACGGCAGCAAGAATATTAATAGCAAAAAGATGGAAATCTAACAGTATACCTTCGGTAAAAGAGCTTAAGTATAAACTCCTAGAGGTAGCTGAAATGGATAAGTTAAATATAGCCTTGCAAAACAAATCGGAGGAGCTCTTCTGGGATAGGTGGGGGGAAATTTATGAGTGGTTGAAGATGTGTAAGCTATAATAGAATTGTATAATGGCTAGTTAAAGATAAATAATGTTAAATACAAATGACCGCCTAGTTATGATATGTAAATGACTGAAAGGAATATGTTTTTAATGAAGCTGAAAATAAATTTATATATATATAAAAAAGGTTGTCCTGAAACACTCCTTTGCCTGTGATCAAAGAGACCCGTTTGCCGTTTGAAAGGAAGTTCTGCTCACTCTCTTTTAATTCGAATCCGTTTTAGCTGGAGGAAGCGAAAGAACAACAGGAGGATTCAAGAGATTCCCTGGAGCCCGAAAGTTCAGAGGACTCTGAAAGCGAATCCGACTCCGAGGATGAAGATGTTGCAGAAGAGCAGCCGTCTACCGAGAAGCTCAGTAACACTGAGAATCCTGAAACCAAAAAGGATGCAAAAAGCAACTATAAAATGATGTTTGTTAAATCCAGTGGTACATAGCTACAGGCCCAATCAGCCTTTCAGTACAGTAAGCCTTATGGTTACAGTGCAAAGTGTTGGACTGCTTACAGCACAGACCTTTCTATTATGGTTTTAGTAAGTCCTTTTAGGAAAAGAGTAGTGTTCGCTCTCCCAAAGTCATTAAATATTTTTATCAGCATGACTGTACCCAATTTTGTTTTGTAAGTATAAAAAGAGGGGGGGAGGGCCAGGATTTAAGTTTTCGCCCCGCTTTTACACTATTCAGTCTTCCTTCTTACCCCGTGATGGCTGTCGAACATTTCTGAAGCTTGTTAAAATGATTTATCTCAATGATACCTGATGTCTTTATCTGTGATTTATTTTTCGAAACAGCATTCTGCTTGGGTTTTGAATGATGTGCAGTTATTAAAAAGTGAGAATTGGTGTTCTTTTGTCTGGCTCGTAGCTTTGAGGATTTGAGGATCTGCCCTGCCTTAGATTCTGCCGCCGTGGACTTGTTGTGTCAAAGCTAGGGCTGTGCGTGGGAGCAGTTCCCTGAAAATAAGTGCTGGGCCAGCCACGATGTATGGGGAGTTGCCATCTTAGGCATTCATCAGCGAATATGTTTTGATGCTGTTTATACAATTTATGGCAGAAAAAAACCCTAAGTTGAAAAGGTTGTGTTGCTGAGTCTTGAGAATATAAGATAAAGGAAAATGCATGTCCTGTACATGAGTTGCTTTAAAGAAGAATCATTATTCTGATTTAGGCTGGCCTAGCTGTCCCTTAATTCATTGACCATGAAACAGAATAGCTACAGCTTTTAGTCCTGTTGATTTCAGGACGATGTATCTTAACTATGTGTGTTAAATTCTGTGTAAAAAGTGCTGTCTATATTTTTATACGTTTAGTTTGGTTAATAGAATTGGGAAAGATTTTGCTTAGAACAGAAGACTTTGGGGCAGTTGTCATGCCAGGATGTTTTGTTCAGGGAGGGCGGGGTCCAAATCGAATAAATAAATAAATCCATCTGAGAATACAGGTAAATTTCATAACAATAATTAGCTCTACCCAACACCAGTTGAGATTAACATCGCTGTGTTCTGCATAAAATAGTTTGTATAGTCGTATGACTTGTCATTATTGGTTGTTTCAGACCAGCCATCTATCTTCAGTGTGGTTTGGATCAGTTGTACCCAGAAATGTATGAAGTTAGGGGACTTTGTGTCTGTTTTAAACATAGGAGGAGGAGATTGGATTTATACCCCGCCCTTCATTACCCAAAGGTGTCTCAGAGCGTCTTACAAACTCCTTTCCCTTCCCCTCCCCACAACAGACACCCTGTGAGGTAGAAGAAGAAGAAGAGATTGGATTTATACCCCGCCCTTCACTACCCAAAGGTGTCTCAGAGCGTCTTACCAACTCCTTTCCCTTCCCCTCCCCACAACAGACACCCTGTGAGGTAGAAGAAGAAGAAGAAGAAGAGATTCGATTTATACCCTGCCCTTCACTACCCAAAGAGTCTCAGGGCGGCTTACAAACTCCTTTCCCTTCCCCTCCCCACAACAGACACCCTGTGAGGTAGGTGGGGCTGAGAGAGCTCTTGACAGAAACTGCTCTTTTTCAAGAACAGCTCTTATCAGAACTACGGCTTGCCCAAGGTCATCCAGCCTGGTGCAAGTGGAGAAGTGGGGAATCAAAACTGGTTCTCCCAGATTAGAGTCCGCGCACTTAACCACTACACCAAACTGGCTCTCATAGTGTCCATTTCAGCCTTAATTCCACCTGTTAACACATATATTGTCTGTGGGTTGAGTTCAGCCATCTGCAGACACAAGGATCATGGATCATTCCCGCTTTTCCATCCCTCTCAGTAGCCATTTCTGAAGGTTCGTACTTGGATTTGTGGGGCGCCACATGGATTAACAGTCACACGAACTGGGAGGCTGCCCTGTGGAAGGCAAATAATCCTTTCTGCCTCCTTCATTAGCATAGCTTATGTCAGTGATGTGTATTTTCTGGGAAATTCTGACTTAGAAACATTTCTGATTCTAATTTAAATGAATACAGACACCCTGTGAGGTAAAAGAAGAAGAAGAGATTGGATTTATACCCCGCCCTTCACTTGGAGTCTCAGAGCGGCTTACAAACTCATTTCCCTTCCCCTCCCCACAACAGACACCCTGTGAGGTAAAAGAAGAAGAAGAGATTGGATTTATACCCCGCCCTTCACTTGGAGTCTCAGAGCAGCTTACAAACTCCTTTCCCTTCCCCTCCCCACAACAGACACCCTGTGAGGTAGGCGGGGCTGAGAGAGCTCTTGACAGAAACTGCTCTTTTTCAAGGACAGCTGTGCCAGAGTTTGTGACTGACCCAAGGTCACATCAGCAGGTGCCAGTGTAGGAGTGGGGAATCAAACCCGGTTCTCCCAGATTAGAGTCCGCGCACTTAACCACTACACCAAACTGGCGCTCTCTACACCAGACCGGCTTTACACCAGACCGGCAGATGCACCCTGTACTAACATGGGGGTTTGTCCATTCGTATCCCATGCTTGATTGATTTTTTTCAGCTGAACAGCTCTGGCAACTGTAGATAAACAGGCTATATTTATGTATATATGAGGAAGACAATTTTCCATAAAACGTTCTGATTTGGAAATATTTCCTGTTCCACATTTCTCTCTCTCTTTTGTCAGCAGAGCTCAACAGAGTGTGATTTTGTCTCTCCTTCCTCTGCTCACTCTGGGCTCCTGATCCATGGGGCTGAGAGTCCATGTGGGTCCCACAATCCCAGGAATGAAGTTTCCTGGGGATGGAAATGGCTTCCGTAGGGAGAGGAATGCAAGGAAACTTTGTGACCATCTGGTGATAGATTGCTGGTTCCAACCCCTATGTATTTATATTTCTGCTTTTCTTCCAAGGGTAGTGAGCTTTAACTTCAGTAAACCAGAGTAATACTAAGAAAAGAGTGTTCTCCTATTCGGGAAGATTTGAGGACCTACTATTTTTTTTTAAAGACCTCCTGCAACTATTGGATAGGTTAAGGTAATTACATAGGTAAGTTTTGTCCAGATACCTTCTTTCTAGTTTCATGGCTGTAACCAGGTTTTTGTCATAAATTAGCAGTTGCTGGCAAGCCAGAGGGTAACCACTGAGCAGATAAGACAACCACCTTCCCTGTGATTGGCAGTTGGCTTCTGTAGACGGGATAGAAAAACATGAGGCCAAACATGCCAGGAGCTCTGATGCCTGAAGAGGACTAACATCATGTCCCATTGAGGAATGGAGTGAATCTCATATCCGTCCTCATGGGCACTCCATGAAATTGCTGAGCGGTCGGGTTAGAACGGATAAAAGGAAGTACTTCTTCACCCAAAGAGTGATTCACACATGGAATTCACTGCCACAGGAAGTGGTGGCGGCTACAAGCATGGACTGTTTCAAAAGGGAATTAGATAGGCATATGGAGCAGAGGTCCATCAGTGGATATTAGCCACAAGGTATAGATAGGGACTCTGGGGCAAGTGATGCTCTGTCTTCTTGGTGCTGGGGGGGGTCAACAGTGGGAGGGCTTCTAATGTCCAGGCCCCACTGGTGGACCTCCTGATGGCACCTGGTATTTTTGGCCACTGTGTGATACAGAGTGTTGGACTGGATGGCCCTTTGGCCTGATCCAACATTGGCATCTCTTATGTTCTTATGTCCTAATCACACTTGTATTTCATTATAATAGCTTAAGCATCTATTTGATCTGCACAAGTCTTTTGTTGGTGCTCGGCCTGAGATGAGATAGTGACTTGCCCAGGATAACCTAGTGAGCCTTATGGCTGAGTTTTATGCACCCTAGCTGGTAATGTTAATTTGATTTAGATCGGCATAGCAGACGGGATTTTAACTCTTCAGTCTTCATCCTTCTTTCTGGATAGATCCAGGAAACTCTGATTTGGACAACAGTTGTGGAACTGCATTATGGGCAAGCAAAGAGGAGCTGTCCAGGACAATGAGGATGGCACTGGAAGATGTGGCCCATGCAGAAGCTAGGTATCCATCACCCCGGTTCTGTTAGGCTTGCTTATGAAAATAGTGAACTATCAAAATGTGTTTCTTAATGCTGGGCTTAGACTGAGGTCCTTTCTTAGGCCCAGGGGCTGCTAGGTTTTCTGCATGGGTTTCCTTTTCTGGAGAGTTTCCCCCCATTGTTCCTGGTCTAGACTTGGAAGTCAGCTTTGGCAGCCATTTGTGAGCTTCAGGCCCAAGTGTAACTTGCGGATCATATTAGAACTTACGGAATGGCTACTGAAAGGTGATTCTGTGTACTGATCAGTATAGGTGTTCTATAACATTTGAAACTTACCGTGAAGATCACTCATAAGAACATAAGAGACGCCAATGTTGGATCAGGCCAAAGGCCCATCCAGTCCAACACTCTGTGTCGCACAGTGGCCAGAAATACCAGGTGCCATCAGGAGGTCCACCAGTGGGGCCAGGACATTAGAAGCCCTCCCACTGTTGACCCCTCCCCCAAGCACCTCCTGGCCGGGGGGGGTAGTCTTTCTCATTGGTGCCATCCATGTGGGAATCAGTTACCAGATTTGGGGATGGTGTGCTGGCTAGCAGAAGTGTTTTGAATTTATTTTTTATTTATTTATGCTTTCGGCTTGTATCCCGCTCGAACCCCAAGGGGGTCTCTGAATGGTTTACAGTTACTCTTTATCCCTTCTATGGCCACCACATAGTCAGGGGTGGGGACTGCCCTACCAGCACCCAGTGGAGGAACTTGCTGTTCTTTGGCTTATTGTCGGCTCGGCTTTTGGGTTTTGGCTCCTCTTCTTCTCCTTCCGGTGGTCTTCTCAGGGGAATGTTTTTCTTCAAGCTTAGAACTTGTGGGCACCCGGCCCACCCAGCACAAGGAAAGAGTTGTATTGGGGCTAGTCACCAATTATCCTACGCCACAAAACATGTGACAAAAATATGCCTTGTTAGCAACATGCATGTGGCAGTGTTATGCTGTTCTTTTAAAAGCTTCTCCACTTAGAATACTACATATTAGGGAGAACAATCATAGGCTCCTCCCTGATATGCTCATTGTTATGTGTATGGATACTTTTTGTGTGAATATGACATTCATATTGTGCAAACACCAGCTGTAGCCCAACGTAACTCACTGCTTCACTGAGAACTTGCTATTTTCCACAATACTCTGCAAATAAAGTATCCTCATTAAAAGAGAAATGCCTTGGTCCAAAGGAAGATCAGGCTTCCAGTAGCCAAGAGAAAACACGTCACTCTGGTTTAAAAACAATCTTTTGGTGTGGCTAAAAGGGAAGGATCTTGTAAGGTGCCATAACTTTATATAGCACTTCCATAGTGTTCTACTTGGTTTTCCTGAGAAAGGAACCTCAAAAGTTTATTTGAGAGCACATTTTTTAGGGCAGCATCAAAGCCATAGGTCCTTCTAAGGCTGCGGTTGGGGAATTCACATCAAAGGAGGCATGCACATGTTAGTTCTCATAGCAGGGAGGACTGCTGGTGGAAATCTCTTGTGGTTTTACTACAGTCCCCGGAAGA